CAGGCTGGAGTGCAGCGGTATGATCACAGCTCATTGCAACCTCCACCTTCCTAGCTCAAGTGATCTTCTCACCTCAGCCTCCTGAGTAGCTGGGACTAGAGGCATGTGCCACCATGCTCAGCTAATTTTTGTAGTTTTTGTAGAGACGAGGTTTCACCATGTTACCCAAGCTGGTCTCAAACTGCTGGGCTTATGTGGTCTTGCCTTGGCCTCACAAAGTGCTGGGATTACAGGCGAGAGACATTGCACTTGGCTTAATTTCTTTTATCTTTATTTTTTGTAGAGATAGGCATTTTCCTACATCGCCCAGGCTGATCTTGAACTCCTGGTCTCAAGTGATTCTCCCACCTAACCCTCGCAAAGTGCTGGGATTTCAGGCGTGAGCCACCATGTCTGGCCCATGTTTCTCTTTTATACTACTTTATTTCTATGTGTTTTAAATCCTCCACAAGTCATTATTGTTGTTATTAATTTTATTTTCTCATTCCATGCTTCTATAACTTTACTCATATAGTTACCATTTTCCTTGTCTACCCCTGTTTTCTTTATTCCATTCTTGCCTTTAGGGTGCAGTTTTTTTTTTTTTAATGTATTATTTTCTTTAGTAGGTGTTTCTGTTATGATATGAGTCTTCACTTCCTCACACTTTATTTGAATATGACTATTTCCACATGCTCCTTGGGTCAAGTATTAGCAACATATAAAATATTAGGACGATTATTTATTTTCTCTTGGTCCTTTAAAGGTATCAATCTATTGCATTCTGGCTTTTGTTGTCACTGGTAAGAGTCAACTGTCAGTTTGAATATTGCTCTTGAAGATAATCTATTTTTTTTCCCTCAGATTCCTTTTATGGTGTTTCTTTTTGGCTTTGATGTTCTAGGATTTTATTGTATGTGCCTAGGGATAAGACTTTAAAAGTGTATCATTTTCAGAGCTCATTATTCTTCAACTCAGAATTCATATCTTTCATTAATTCTTATAGTGTCTCTCGGTGTATTATTTGCGTCTCTCTTTCTTAAAAGTTCTGTTTGACATTTTCCACCTCTTTGTCAATTATCTCATCTCTCCTCTTCAATTAACTTTTCAGCTATGTTCAACTTGTTACTTTGTGCGGTAAAATTTTAGTTGTAATGACTAATCAGAATCTTTTAATTTCTAGAAGTTCACTTGCCAATTCTTTTTTCATAGTTCTCTGTTCTTTCCTTATGACTTGAATTCTTCTTTCATATATATGTAATCATTTTGACGATTATCATTTGAGTCTTTTAAGACTGTTATTTATTACAAGTTCTATTATAGCCTCTTTGTTCTGTACACTGTTTATTGTGTCACTGTGAGTGTGGTTTGTAATTTTGGATTTTGAGCTCATTTTCAGCAGAGCTTTTTCTTACTTTTTTTTCTTTCTTTTTTCCTTAGGGAGTCCATGAATGCTGGGCTGTGTAAGAGTTCCTAGAGAGTGGGCTTTCATTTGATTTAGCCAGGTGTCCTAGAGACTTTTTTTCTTACTTAGAATTAAAACAAAATTTGTTGTTGTTTATTTCTGTACTTGGGGTTTTCTGCTGCATAAATTTGGATGCCACATCCCTGTGTAGTATAAGGTTTTGGTCTCTGTTTTTTGTGGAAGACTTTAACAAATTCTAATCAGAGTTCCAGAAAGAGACAAACTATCTTAATGTTTTTCTGAGCCAGTGGGTATAGTTTTTTTCCCTACTCTTCTCTTTTATAGAGAGATTAACTTTTCCATGGCCTATTTTTTTGTCTGTGATTTTTGTTTTTGATTCTTATCTTCTGTGGACCCAAAGCCACATTTCTCATTCCTCTCAGTCTATTAAGTCTCAAGCTCCTTAGGATTCCTGTTCAGTCTGATACGACTCTAGAGTGCCATGATGTTGGTGTATAGCTTTATCCTGCCTCTTTGTTTTTGACACCAAAGTATTTTCATTTCTTTATTTTAATAAAAGCTATGTATTTAATTTTTCTTTTAATCTGTAATTTCTTTTTTATTGTATTAATTAGAGGTAGGGAAATATTGTGTTAGTTCAGTCTACCATGTTTCCAGAACCCAAAGCCTTTAGATTTTTTTTATTGTCATGGGAACATAAGGAAACCCATAACAGATTAGAAAGCAAATGGCAATTTGGAGAAAATGCTTATAACATATATGATACAGGATATTAATATCTTTAATAAAAAAGAGACCTATAAGAAAAGATGAGTGACCTAAAACAAATTGGATCATTTTAATAATAAGAAAGGTATGGAAAAAGTCAGACTTTGTGGTTATCAAACAAACAAAAATTCCAATAATGAAATACTTTATTTAGACTATCAAATTGGAAAAATTTGAAAGCAATGATAATGTCAAGGATTGTTTAAGATGTAGGGATATTAACACTCTTAAACATTACTGATGGTGGGTCTGAGAGTAATGTTTTGAAAGGACACTTTGTGAATATGAATAAAAAACCTTAACAAACTGTATTCTTTAATAATCACACTTCTAGGAATTTTTAGTAATGAACTAATTGGGCAAGTATATAAAGATTTATGCATAAAGTTGAAGCATTGTTCATAATGTTTAGTAATTGAAACACCCTAAATTTCTGACTGAGAAAATCATGGTAAATCCATTCAGTGAAATGTAATAGTCAATTAAAGTGACACAGAAATACTCATTAGAATTGAAAAATATTTGGTATATATTGTTTATTCATTAAAAATCAGAGACAAAATAAGAGCTACGGTAGAAACCACATTCATTTCTATTTGTATTTGTATGCCCTTAAAAAATCTAGAGAGGCCTACATGAGTATATTAACTTGGTTTTGGTAGTGTGTTTCTTATTTATTTATTTAAATCTGTACCTCACATATTGTTTGTGTAATGAAATGAGGTTACATATTATAGTATATCCATAGGATAGTTTTTTTGTGGTTATTAAAACCTGTGATTCTGAAGAATATTGAATAATATGAACAACGCTTAGAAAATAATATTGAAATAAAATGAAGTAGGACACAAAACACAGTAGGTTTTCTTTAAAATGCAGTATACGAAAATGTCCATATGCATATGGGATGAAATATGAAATATATTAATAGTATTTATTAAATCAATCATTACTAACATTAATATCAATAATGGTTATTGCTAGATGGTAAGTATATCCATGGCTTTTCTTTCTGCAATTTTGCATTATGTCCGTGTATACTTTTCTAAATAATGAAACTATTCAAGTGCAGTGTTATTCCAAGAGAAGCAGGGGAATGAGGGCCTGGGTTGAAAAGCCAGTGGTATTTGTGACAGCAGGGGAGGAGTCCAGTGGTGGGGCAGATAGGCACCACCTCATTTGTTTCCAAGCATGTCTTCCCTCCTGGGAGTTATGTAAACTTGAAGGGTTCAGGCTTTCTATAATTACCTAATGAAGGAAATTAGTCTTCTTAGAAAATATTTGAAATGAGACTTGCAAAGGCATCTCAGAAATATAAAAAATGTGTTTTCAAAAATGACATCATAAGTTCATCTTGTCCTCAAAGGCTTGTTGTGGAAGCTGTGAGGGGGGTAGTAACATGGAGGAAGTGGCCCAGGGCATGTCTGCCCATGGATTTGTTTAGATTTTCCCTGGTGGGCCCAGGGGAATCGATCAGGAGGCCTTTGAGCAGAACACTGGAATTTAAATAAAACATGCATCTAGGTTGCACATTCAATCTTTATTTATTTATTTTTTTTGAGCTGGCAGCTTTCCTGAGGTCCAAGGAAACTCCCGAGAGCTTCAGTGACGCTAGAATATTCTATGAAGTTGGCAAATGTAAGAGAAGAGAGAATGTCTGTGAGGGAGACTTGGAGAAGGTGCTCTATTCACTAGGCTGGTTAGTTGAACCACCCTCAGTGCCCATACAGTGGAATAAGTAACCTGGTGCAGAGGGCTATGGCAAGGGCCCACCTTGGTCAACGCTCTGCAAATGCAAGCATTTATGGTAGGTGATAAAGAGCTACCAGGCTTCCTTTAATGATTACCTGGGACTCATTTGACATGCATGCATTTACTTTTTGCATTTAAATGGATGTTCTTCATCCAAGTTTATAAATGACTATGCTTCTTAAATATTTGCATGGCTACTTTGTGTTTTAGAACACTCTTCATAAGTTATCATAAGTCACAAAAGAGTGTACTTTTTCTTTACCATAGGTGAATTATCAACAGTTGCAGATTAAGGCTACCAAGAGGTAAGCTTGTGAGGAAATCAACAGAGAGTTGTCCACCGTATGGGGACCTATGTGACTGTGCAGCTATTTGGTGGTGGTAGTTTTCTGCAGGGATGCCTGTGGAAGTAGAGATGGTACCAGATCCAGGCGGGGCACAGGATGAAGAGCTGATCAGAGACTTCAAGCCTGTCACCTTGACTCTTGGGGGATTCTTAGAGTGGGCTGTCCTGAGCTTTGCCTTCGACCTTCTGCTGTCTGGATGCCCACTTTTGTTCACAAAGCTTCTAACATACAGGGTTAGACTATATTGTCTTCTTTACCAACACACACTGCAAATACAGTTGGAATCATCCTCTTCTAGGCAACAGAAAGCATAAGAAATACTCACTCATTAGTAAACGAATGAGAATTTACTGAGTATCTTAAAGTTCTCATTTGTATTTTTCCCCCACTGAAATTGTGTCTTATACAAAATCATGTTGGTTATGCAGAATTAAGAAGTGAATACACCCACGTCTTTGGCACACATGGGTTTTTTTATTTCACAATCTGTTTAATCTTTTTGCATATTCCAAGGGAGGCTCACTGTGGGAGTATATGTATATCTCTCTGACTTGCAGTCAAGTTATAAAAAAAAATCTAGGTCTAGAGTTTGAAAGTATGTACAGGAATAAAAATAGTCAGAAAAAAATAAGCCAGGATAACAAACTTATGAGAAAAGAAAGTGTTGGTTTCATTTTAATTTTCTTGTAAAGTTTGTAGAGTTCATAGGAGCTAACTCAAAGTGTTCTCCATATTGCACTGAGGACCATAGGGACTCATATCATTTCATTTCTCATGGAGCTGAAATTGGGTTTCAAGTAAGAGTGTATATTTTGTTATTTAGTGACACGTTGCTCTTCACTGACACATAATCCATAATTTAATAATTTAAAATATTTAATTTCTTTTTCTTGAATATCTTTAATGGATCCTGGGGTCCGTTAATGGGAAGGAAAAGCAGGGACTAATTAGATTCTTTGAAGACATTCTCTCTCATTTATTCATTCATTTATTTATTTACTTATTCTCTTTAATTTAAATTTTCTATTTCTATTCCCTTTCTGTAAGAAACTGTTCTTGGGTTTTACAATGCATCCTTTTGTCTGTTGTTAAACTCTCTATTCCTTGTATTGCTGTTTGTTTTATGTGCTTGTACTTTAAGTTTTTGAGAATGGTACTTGGGAATAGATCCCATTCTGTTCCGTTCTTCACTAAGCCCATTTTAAAAAGATCCATCTATGTTGCTGTGTTACATTCAATCTGTCACTGCTAATGCTACATTTTACTTCATGGAATGCTTCCCTTCCTTTTACTTTTTCAGTTTGGAAGTAATGGACTCCCAAACTGCTCTAACTCCCTGTCACTGCAAAGAATTATGGACCTTTGTGAGAATTTATCCAGATTTCTAATTTTTTCCGATCTTAACTGAGGTAAAATGATATTTCAATATTGTTTTAGTTTATATCCTTTGATGACTGAGTTTGTGGCAGTGTTTTGAGTTCTCTTTTGTATATATCTCATATTCATATTTTTGTCCATTCTTCTATTAGGATTGCTATCTTTTTCTTTGCAAATGTTCCCTATGTATTTTATATATTAGCCCCTGATTCATTTTGGACAGTGCAAATTTTTTCTTTCAATCTGTTAACTGTTAACTTAATGGACAGTATTATTTATTGACCAGAAAGCATTAATTTTTAAGTAATCAAATACATGGAGATTTTTTTGCCTTGCAGTTTGTGTATTTGGGGTTTTATTTAAGAAGGCCTTATCTATCCAAATATATGGAGATTTTTTGCCTTGCAGTTTGTGTATTTGGGGTTTTACTTATGAAGGTTTTATCTATCTTTAGGGACAAAGATATCCTACTACATTTTCATCTATTAAATTTATGATTTATAATTTATAACTGCATATTTCATTTAGGTACTTATCCATATGGAATCCACCTTTGTATATGGTGTTAGAGTCCCAGTTTTATTTCTAAATATAAAGAGTTATTTTTTCTAATACCTTCTCCTGAACAATCTAATCTTTCCCCCCAATTTATGGTGCCACCTTTATTAAATCATATATATATATATTTTTTCTCTATTTCTATTTGTTCTCTTTTGCTCCAAAATTAAACTATGTTTTGTAATTATAGCTTTTGTAAATTCACAATCTTTTTTCCTTTATGAATGTTGACTCTTTGGCGGACCTCTATTTGTTCATAGAGATCATCAAGATCATTAAGTGTCTAAAAGATCAGGTGGAATTTTTGTTGTGATTGCCTCTGCAATACAATAATTGTAAATACATAGAATTTTAGATCATTTGGTAAAACATTTATAAGCCTACAATGTAATCCTATTCAAGACCATGGGATGCGACTTCACTCTGAGCCACTCTTTTCTTTGTATTTTATTAAACTTAAAAAAATTTTCTCCATAGTAAATTGTTAGTTAAACTCTCTAGATACTTTAAGCTTTTCTATTGCTGTTGTGAAGGTAATGTTATTTTATTATATTTTCTAGTTGGTTACTGAGTTTGAAAGAAACGATTCTTGACTTTTTAAAGTTGATCTTGTATCCAACAACTTTGCTTAACTGTATTAGTTCTGATCATTTGTTGCATTTCTACATTAGTGATTGTATCATCCACAAATGGTCTCCTATCTCTTTTTTAAAAATCGTAACACCTCTTACTTCTTGTCTTCCCTTAACTTCTGGAACTATTTTTTTGAGACTTCCAATACTATGTTAACATAGAGATAGTGCACATACTTGTGGTTTTTACTTTGTCCAATCTTAAAAAAAAATGCATTTCCTTCCATTCCCAATTCTCTTCTCTTTCTGATTTGCTAAAAGATTTATTTTTCCATAAATAGTTGCTGAACATTATCAAATTCTTTTCCTGCATCAACTGAGACAATTTTATATTATTTTTTCCCTTTCAGCTCTGGGATAAACCCTACTCCAGCTTGATGTAATATATTTAATTTTTTAAGAGATGGGGTCTTGCTATATTGCCCAGGTTGGCCTCAAACTCTGGGGCTCAAGCAATCCTCCCACCTCAGCCTCCCAAGTAGCTGGGATGACAGTCATGTGCCACCTCACCTAGTTTAAGAACTCTTCCAGTATCAGCTCAAGCATCATGTTTTTTTGGCAAAGCCTTTCTAATCTACCTCTTCCTGCTTCCTGACCCCCTGTCCTTTAGGTTTGCAGATCACTTTGTAGTATCACTGCTGTGGAATTTGTAGTGGTCTTGCTTATTGCTGTTCCTTTTCCCACATAACATTAGTTGGGGAGACATCTCAAGAATGGAATAGTGTCTTATTTTCGAATCAGTTTATTGAGGTATAATTTGTATACCAGAAAATCACTTGTCATAAGTTTAAAATTCAGTGCTATCTAGTACATTTATAGAGTTTGTGAAACCATCAACATAGACCAATTTTAGAACATTTTCAGCCTAAGTTATTACCTCATGCCAATTTGCAGTCAGTTCCTCCTCCCTACTCCAGCCTCAGACGATCACTTATCTGGTGTTTGTCTCCATAAATTTGTCTTTTCTGGACCTTTAGTATAAATGAGAACATATTCGCCTTTCGTGTTGGGCTTCTCTCACTTAGTACAATGATTTTCAAGTTTATCCATGTTGTAGGATTAATTGATAGTTTGGGGATAAACCCTTGTGTACAGGCCTTTGTGTGAAAATGTGTTTTCATTTCTTTTGGGTAAGTTCCTAGGAGTGGAATTGCTGAGTCGCTTGGTAAGTTTATGTTTAACATTTTAAGAAACTGGCAAACTGATTTTCAAACAGGCTATATCAGCTCATATCTCCACCAACAACATATGAAAGTTCTAGTCTTCACACATCTTCAGCGATATTTGGTATTGATTCTCTTTTTGAGTATAGAAATTCGAGCAGATGTGTAGTGGTATTGAGTTGTGTTTTCAATTTCCATTTCCCTAATGAGTAGATATGTTGAGCAAGCTTTTCTTGGTATGTCACATGACCCCTGAGTTATACAACCCAGGGCTGGCTGCCTTTCAGTGTCTCTCAGCTGTGGTGCAAGTGAAGCATGCACAGTCAAGACTCTATCCACCCCATGCAGCTTTCTTGGGTCTCGGGGGTCTGGCTCACCATGGATCCTGTCCTTCGTTTGTCCCATGCCACCTCTTTGTAACTTATAAATGCGCTTCATACAACTCGTTGAGTGTTCATATGTTTGTCTCACTGGACTCAGGCATTGGTAACACTTCAGCCCAGGATGAAGTGGGCACAAGTGTTTGGACTCCTACTTTTGGTGATTGGCATAGTGATGATTTCTGAGGCTTCCATGCAGTGGGAGTCCATTCTTGGGACTGGTTATTAGTGAACCTGATTCACACTTTCCTCCTTCCCTTCTTTCCTCCATTTCTTCCTCCCTTTCTTCCTTTATTTTCCATATTTCACTGGCTATACCCTCTAGTGAAATGTTGTATAGCAGTGGCAAGGGTGGACATGCTTACCTTATTCCAAATCTTGGGGGTAACATTCTGTCTTTAGTGTTAAGCATGTTAGCTATAGCTTTTCCATGATATACTTTCTCAGTTTGAGGACGTTTCATTCTATGTTGAATCTTTTGAAGGATTTTAAAAATTAGAAATAAATTATGAATGGGTATTGGATTTTGTCAAGTGCTTTTTCTGCACTTGATGAGTTGATTATATTTTTTGTTTTTATTAATATTAATGGTCTTTTCGATGTCAAACCAATCTTGCATTCCTTGTATATATCCCACTTGGCCATGGTGTATAATCCCTTTACATGCTACTGAACTTGGATTTATAACATTTTGTTAAAAATTTATGTCTATGTTCCTGAGGGATATTGATCTACAATTTTCTTGTGATGTTTTTGTCTTGCTTTGGTATCACAGAAATATTTACATAATGAATGAACTGATGTGTTCCCCTCTCTGTTATTTCCTGAAAGAATTTGTGAAGAATTGATATTATTTGTTCTTTACACATTTTATAGAACTCACCAGTGAAACCATCTGGGTTTTTTTTGTGGTAAGATTTAAAATTACTACTTTAATTTCTTCACTTGGTATAGGTCTATTTGGATTTTGCACTTATTTATAAGTTTTGGTAATTTGTGACTTTCTAAGAATCAGGTCATTTCATCTACATTGTCCAATTTGTTGGAAAAAAGTTGTTTATAATATTGCCTATACTCTTTTTACTTTCCCTATGGCTAATAATGATATTATAGCTTTCATTTATTTTGGCAACTTGTATTATCTCTCTGTTTTTCTTATTTATTCTAGCTGAAATGTTGGTCAATTTTATTGGTCATCTTAAAGAATCAATTTTGGTTTGAGTTCTCTGTTGTTTTTCTGTTTTCTATTTCTAGGATTTTTCATTCTAATCATTATTATTTCCTTTGTTCTGCTTTCTTTGCTTTAAGTTTGTTCTTTTTCCAATTTTATGAGGTAGAAATTTATGTTATGAATTTGATATCTTTTTCTTTTCCAATGTAAGTATTCTGATATAGAATGTAGTTTCAGTTGTATCCCGAAAATTTTGATGGATTGTATTTTCATTTTCTTTTAGTTTGAAATATTTTCTAATTTCCCTTTTGATCGCTTGTTTGATCCATATATTTCATTAAGAAAAATATGTTGTTATATACAAATCAATAAACATAATCCATCACATAAACAGAATCAAAGACAAAAACCACATGATTATCTCAATAGATGCAGAAAAGGCCTTCGATAAAATTCAATACCCCTTCATGCTAAAAACTGTCAATAAACTAGGTATCAATGGAATGTATCTCAAAA